CTGCTTTTTGATACCTTCTGAGGAGTGCATTAGTCCTTCTGGCCACAGGGTTGCACTGAAAGCTCACATTCAACTCGGCACATTTAGCTGAGCAAGAGCTCTGACCCCTAAATCCTTCCCAGGACTGTGGGAAGTCTGCTATCCTACAAGCATGACCGAGATCCCTTCTGCGGCTGGAAAAATACTGGTTTGCAGCAACACACATTTTGTTTCCTCACACAGAATTTACCACTCAATCCAGATAGCTCTTTAGCAGTGGTCTGGGATCTTAATCTTTTATCACGCCCCTAGTATCTCTGTTCAGATTCTTCCCATGATAGCAAATAAATTTTATTTATTTGCTATTACAAATAGCAAATGAAAGAAGTAAGATTCAATCATTTAAAAAAAACGTTTTAGTTTAGTTGCTGCTGTGGAAAATCCATCAAAAATACTGCTGGAATGGAAAGAATTAATCGTTTATGATATGACTATGTCTAGTTTTTGTCCAGTCCCAAATATGGTACAAAAACATTTATCACAGATTTCTGTCTTTTCTGCACTAATGACAACGCTACTGTAAGATTCTGTAACAGCTCAACAACAGGTAGTTAACACTGTAAAAAAGTGGAACTATACTTAGTTCTGCTAGCCACAGATTCTTACAGGTTCTTTTGCTGTCTCCAGTTTTTGCTCTTCTAGATTGCCTGCAGCCATAGCATCAACTCCTCCTCCTTGCTTCTATTTGTTTTGCTATTGACCTGCCTGTTTCTCAAGCAGCATCACTCCCCTCTATAGCAAATTGCTGTTTTCAAATTTGGGGGAGGGAAGTCTTATTTCAAGTGCAGATATTCTATCTAAAATATTTTCAAATTTTTATTCACCTTTTTCTTCCTGTTAAAAATATTATCTGTCCCTTAGTTGGCACGTAAGTGCTTTCAGTATTTTGAGTACATTGTTTACACAGAATGGTATCAAAGTCTACAATGATTTATAGCCTGTGATCGACTCTCCCTTATCTGCTAAAGCAAGGTTTAATGCAGCACTTTGCTATGTTGAATGCGAGGCTTTCTGATAGGAAAGCACTCTCACACTACTCAGAAATTCTACAGGGCTTTGGTTGCCTAAGATTTTCAACATAAATCACCTGGAATACAGCCGCCCTGGTTAAGTCTAAAAGGTGCTATAAGAGAGGAGCCAAAGCACAGTCCAGTCTCCTGGTTCTCCAGTTATCCAGAGCTCAAACATGCCCAGGCCACACGATCACTTCTTTCCAGCTTGAGTATCATGTTCCCTCATAAAAATGAGGAGGTATATGGGAATCCTGAGGCATGCCTGCGTCTCATATCAGCACGTAGCTGGGATCACTGAAACCTAAAAGCTGGAAAGTGTCTCTGGATTTGACAACGTCAAATTAGCCTCAGGTAACAGATTCTGTTCCTCCCCTTTCGCCACGAAAGGTTTAAGAGAGGACTTGGTGACTTGGTACTAGCTCTTGTGTGTTAGCACATGGGTTCACGGGTATGAAGGCACTCTCACACTAAGTGCTCCCAGGATTTGGGAAAATGCAGCACTGTATCTCTGTGTCATCATGCAAATTTTCTTTTCTGTTACAAACCTGTTTTGTGTTAAAGCTGCTGAAATAGTTTCTCAGCATATATTTACAACACTAAGTGAGAAAAGAAAAAAAAAACACTAGAGATCATAGCAACGTGAGTGTCTCCTCTTTATCATGGTCTGTGACTTTCACAAGTTATCATAAACTTGCACATCTATAGTGACAATCCATGTATTTTTTTATAGCTATGCCATACCTTGACATCCCCTGTGGGCTATCTGCTGGAAACCATCTGGACAAGTGCATTCATAAGACCCTTCAGTATTCACGCAGTTTCCTCCTGAGCAAATATCACCATCTTGAAGGCATTCATCAACATCTGAAACAAATACATAACGGAATAATTAGATGATGTATAAAAAGCGACTGAACTTTTAACAGTGACATATTGATCTAATGTAGCAACTTGAAGTGGGAGGAAAGGGAGGAAATCAAGTTTACTACACTTTGTGAATGTCTTTTCATTTTATTTTTCATCATATTCTCACACTTTCTGCATTTCTGGAAGAGTCCAGAATTTGAGTTTGCATGTCAAGCAAGCAAGCACGACTAAACATGTGCCATCTCTACCTCTAGTGAAAGCCACCACAACGGATCTTTATACAAATGTCTCCCCTACTTTAGCAGTGACTGCGGTGTTACAGTATTACGATTAACAAGAAAACTCAAGCAGCTGTACATTTAGAAGGCAGAAACACACAAAAGAAAACATCTAGTGATACTTATTTGTAGTTTTGGACTTATTTGGACATGCAGAGAGCAAGTTTCTGGCTCAGATGTCCCGCAGAGCACTTGCAAGCCCGTACACAGCTGGTGTGTCACACCAGCACTGCACATGGCTCTGGAGGCCACTTACAAAGCAGCTTCCCAGGCAGAAGGTACGAAGACCACGGGCTGCTCTGCCTATGCAGCTGTGCTGATGGGGCTTTTCCAGGGGCAGTTCACACGATGCACGAGCAACTCGGGTCAGGCTTTCGCGTAGTGCTGCTCCCAAGCCATAAACCCAGCTCAAGAGCCAGGGCAGGAAGGGTCTAGCTCCTCACTGCCTCCATGCCCTGTTCCCAGGACAAGCGTCAGCCCTACAGCTAGAGCTGGTGTCCCAGCATCCATGGGATGAACGTGCTGACTGACACACTAGCAGGGCAAGTTTCAGGCTACACACTGCAGAGAAAGCAATCAAACGTTTCTGGAACAGGAGAATAACATCTTTCCCAATACTGTTTTTTAAAAAAATTGCTCTCCATGTTTGCATTACAAACATATATGGTATTTTATTTTTAGAGCATATAACCACAGCACTCCCCCCTGGTGCCCTCTTGTAAAATGCCTTCCTGTGCTGTCCATCCAAGGATTTTCTAGGTACGTTTTTCCCTGCAGGGCAGATTAAAGGTTCTGAAACAAGAACTAACAAAACTACACCGTGACTCGCATCCTGTAGGTGCACGATTCATCATAGCCACACTACAGTCAAGGGGGCTCTGCTCATTATACAGAAGCATCTGCTCCACAAAACACTGAAACTGATGAAAATAATTCCGTGCTCTCCACCTAGAGTCTCTTCTTCCTGTCATTTTCAAAGGGTTTAAAGACAACCCCAGTAAAGGGGACAGCTCACAGTTTTCTGGTGCAAGGTTAACTCAGCAGGTGCCTATGTTCGAGTGATATTATGTAGTTTTGTTCCACTGAAGCTAAAGATGTCACAGAGCACTTCACGAGCACGCCTCTAGTTATAAAACAAAAGGAAATTAAAAAAATTGGACAAACAAAACAGCTCCTAAGGAACGTTTACAGGCATCCACAGTGTTCTGCCTTGTAACTAATTGAGTCTATTAATCCGATAAGTCAGTTACTTTCCTTTGAAAAAAAGTTACCAAAGAATTTTTTCTACTGCCTTTTGATTATTCTGACTTCTTAAGAATGGATTTTAGTTGATTAGAATTGTGACATTTCCTGCTTTGCAGGAACTAACAACAATAGCAATTAAAAATGACAAGAACTTTTTCTACATTTATCTCTGGGAAGCTGACTCCATATATCAAAGCTTATCTGTTCTTGAGATTCAGTATATTAGATAAAAACTAAGAAATAAAGATAACTTTCTTATGCAACTGAATGTTATTACAGATAAAATGGCACTTAATTCTTATAAAGCTGTGACTCTTCAAAAAACATATGTTTTAAAATCAGTTTCAACTGAGAAACAAATTGTGGTTTATTTAAACCAGCAATTAATTTTAACTGGGAGCATAAGAAAAAATTAACAGCCCCCTCACGCTGATTTAATGCCAAGCCCCACAACAAGAATATGTTTCTGCCAAATACAGTCAAAATGCGTTATTTTGATATGAGACAAACCTTCCCTCTCTCTTCACAACTCAGCTCCTACACAAAAACCCAGAGAAAAATCTGAGACAGTAACTTGTCTCAGATTGCTTGAGATCTTTAGTCCTTTTACCACCCTTCACAGGTGCACATCTAGGGCAATTTTGGCTGTCAAGATCTCTGAAGCCTTCCAGAAGACCCCAAGAAGTGGGACTCCGATCATGAAAGCCTGAAGCCTGATGAAAGTACACAAGTTTCAAGTCCTCGTATCGTCAGTCTACATTCCTTAAAGCTGGTGCAAGTGATGCTGTTTTCTGCCAGAAGCTCTGACAAGATCTTGTTAAGTTCTTCTAAGATGAGATCTTAGAAGTGAAGAATATCAGACTGATAAGACTGTAAGATTGTCCTGTACCTTTCTGGTGAAAATTTCAAGACATATTGTCACTCGCTAAACACGGACAATCCACATTACCAGCACTGATAATATCTGGCACGATAGGTTTGTCTTGAGAGGACAGCACTGGCTTGGTTCAGGGGATCTGTTTGGATCACTTCAAAAGGAGGATTCCTGACCCACTGCTGTGGGTGAGAGGGTGCTAACTGCCTGCTAGAGCACGGTGTGGAGAAAGGAGCTGTGTGTTTCTTATCCTTATCAGCAGTCACAAGGAGCATATTACAGATTGGAAAGTTTATTTGTGCTAATACCACACGTGTGGCGAGAACTTAACTGAGAGAGTTCTTTTCCCTAGGGTGGGAGATAAGGACGCAACTGAGGTAGAATCTGTCCTGGAGCTGGCTCGTAGGTGATCTGGCACGCTGAGGGAGATCAGGAATAGCACAGCAAAAGTGACTCCAACTTAAGCAATATATCCAGGTGGTACAGAAGGCTCCAAGACAAAGGATAGAGGGAGAATCCTTGAAATAAACGTCTGTTTTCTGTAACCCATATTTCTCCCTATGTTTGCTATACATCTTTTACCTCTCATGTTTTGTTTCACAAGGTCACTACGTAGGCTGCCTTCTCAAACAGTAGAAGCTGTGAGCTCCAGTACATTCTTGTCTCTGGGCACATGCAAGATGAGAAGGTGCTCAAGAGTAGTCAGCATGGATTCACCAAGGGGAAATCTTGCTCGACTAATCTGATAGCCTTCTATGATGGAATAACCGGCTGGATAGATGAGGGGAGAGCGGTGGATGTCGTCTATCTCGACGTCACCAAGGCTTTTGACACCGTCCCTCACAACATCCTCCTGGGCAAGCTCCAGAAGTGTGGGATAGATGAGTACACAGTGAGGTGGATTAGGAACTGGCTGGATGGCAGAGCTCAAAGGGTGGTGATCAGCGGTGCTGAGTCTAGTTGGAGGCCTGTAGCTAGCGGGGTCCCCCAGGGGTCAGTCCTTGGTCCAGTCCTGTTCAATTTACTCATCAATGACCTGGATGAAGGCACAGAGTGCTCCCTCAGCAAGTTTGCTGATGATGCCAAACTGGGAGGAGTAGCTGATACCCCAGAGGGCTGCGCTGCCATCCAGAGGGACCTGGACAGACTGGACAACTGGGCAGTGAAAAACCTCATGCAATTCAACAAGGCCAAGTGCAAGGTCCTGCAAGAAGAGTGTCTCCAGCAGGTCGAGGGAGGTGATCCTGCCCTGGTGAGGCCACATCTGGAGTATTGTGTCCAGTTCTGGGCTCCACAGTACAAGAGGGATGTGGAGCTGCTGGAGAGAGTCCAGCGCAGGGCTACAAGGATGATCAGGGGCCTGGAACATCTGCCCTATGAGGAGAGGCTGAGAGAGCTGGACCTGTTCAGCCTGGAGAAGAGAAGGCTGAGAGGGGACCTGATCAGTGTCTATAAGTACCTCCAGGGAGGCAGCGAGGAGGATGGTGCTGGCTTCTTTTCAGCGGCAGACACCGACAGAACTAGAGGTAATGGCCACAAACTGAAGCACCAAAAGTTCCACAGGAACTTAAGGAAAAATTTTTTAACAGTGAGGGTGACAGAGCACTGGAACAGGCTGCCCAGAGAGGTTGTGGAGTCTCCTTCTCTGGAGATCTTCAAAACCCGCTTGGACGGAGTCCTGTGCCACGTGCTCTAGGTGACCCTGCGTGTGCAGGGGGGTTGGACTAGATGACCTCTAGAGGTCCCTTCCAACCTTAAGCATTCTATGATTCTATGAAACTATGTTATTTTCTCCTGCCAGTGCACAACCGGGATTGTGGGGGGTGGCTACAGCTTGGAGCTGGCTACCAGCTAGAGAAGTTTTAACTTAAGCAGACCTACATGTCAACACTGCATGCCGTAGAAACTTTGGTAATCGAGAATCGCACACAGATCTCTGTGTCAGAATCTGAATAATGAGTTTTGAAAAGACTTGATTGATCTTGGTAAGGACACTCAATTGCTCTCCCACTCTTATTCTGAGAAACATAGATGCTGATTTCTTGTATTTATAAGGGTATCAGGAGCTGTTTCTGAGAATCCATTAAACGTGTGTCTGTGTAGGCAGAGTCCATTAAATGGTTGAGAGCAAAGTACTGAGAAAAATAAAAAAGAGGAACAACATATTTTTCTGCCTCATCCTTGAAAGAATTTCTCTCTAAGGGGCTAAAGCTGAAATACTTAGGATCTTACTGAAGAAAGAAAACAAGAACAAAAAACAGTACCTTAAGCCTATGATCTTACCTTCACATTGATCTCCAGTGGATGCTAACACGTAACCTTGGCTGCAAATACATCTGAAAGACCCTTCCGTGTTCCTGCAGCGTCCATTCACACAGAGCGACTGCTGCTGGCACTCGTCTACATCTGCGGCAGAAGGGACAGTGACAACATAACGCATCTGAAAACACCAAGTGCTAACCAAGTGGCGCACTAACCAACTCTGAACAAAGCAGCCAAGCCGAGTGCCAAAAGAAAGCTCCCCTTCTCTCCATCTGACTGCAGATGGTCGACATAAGGCATGAGAGCTGGCAGAAGGACGGGATGAACCTTTTCCACAGGCTGCCTGCTTTCAGCTCCAACCCCTCTGCGCACGCAGCTCCACACACACTTACACACACACGGCTTGAGAGCATCCCTTGTTTCTCTTCTGCCTGGCAAAGGACACAAGCCAGCGGCTCCGGTGAGTCAGCAAAACCCACAAAATACTTTCCAGCAGGATCACCACCTTTCAGCAGGGTGGGGTGTTCAGCTGCACACTGCCGGGCTGCTGCATTTTTAAAGTTGTATATTAAGGCTTCTTTTAATGCTCGACTTTGTAACAGTATTAAACCTCTAAGTATAGGTAGTGTCTCTCCACTTCCTCAACACTCCAGTTCTCACAACCTGGGGTCAGCCTGGGTTAACAGATGGATTTGAACAACAAACTTAAATTTTCCTATGAAAATCCCAACATGCCGAAGGGGAGCAATGCTTTAAGTTCAGAACACAGTATATGTCCTGTCTGAGTTAGGAAGCCTGTTTCTCCTTCTTATTTATAAAACTAACAAACTGTAATTAAATCGATAGGGTAGGTTCTTGGTCACTTCTAGAATTTAGGCGAGGCTGAATGTCTTCTAAAAATGTATCTGCTTCAAACAGCAGGAAGTTGCTCAATGAGGGTTTTCAGGTCTGTGTTATGGCTATGTAGTCTGACCTCTTGAGTAATGGTCCCCTGCGACCGCAGAAGTTTTAAATTTAAGGATCGCTGAAGTCTTTGCTGCATGAAGCATCCAAGCATGTACACAGTGCTGTGGAGCCAGGGCTGCCCTTTAGAAGAGTGCTCTTTAAGAAAGACCATGTGCACATGCCAGCTGAGCTTGGCAAGGGCCCTTTTCCATGAAAGGCTCCGAGGAAGCAGTCAAACTTTGTCTACATACTTTCCCCAAGACCAGGCTGTTCCGCGTCCTGGGCAGCACATTTAACTCACTCAAGACACTTAACTTACACTCATGTTTTGTTTCAAATTTCCTGACAAATTTAAACAAACGATCATGTATTTTTATTGTATTATTCCAGCACTCAGAAGTCTGACTGTGTTTGGTGCTATAGCCAAACACTTACAGAAGAAAAAAGTGGAAAAAAAAATCTTAGAAGAAACTCCTCCAGGTTTTTGTGTGCTTCCACAGCTCCCAGCCTTGTGAAAGCTGTGCCTGCTGTTCAAGAAGCACAGGGATGGCCACAGCTCCTGCAAGCCCTCTAGCCTTCTCCGTTCTGACTTCAGACCTACTCCGGGTTCACTGGCACTGTCATGATGAGAATTTTAGATGCAGAAGAAATGCAGCATCTGACACCCTGGAGGCTCAGGGACTGTTACTTAGAGTTCTGACACTAGTTTCTCTACTAAAAGTACTGCTAGAAATGCAGAGATACCACTGCAGGCCTCAGCTCTGTATTCAACAGGCGCTCCTGGGCTCCAAGCTGAGTGTTGCCTGTTTTTTTGATTTCCTATCCCACATTAAGGCAGACAGGCAGACAGAAAAGCAAGTAAATGCTATGCTAAAAGTTTATGGCAGAGAAAACAAGGTCCTCAAGCCTCTAAAACAATGCAAATGTCAAACATTTAGCAGGAATGTCAATTCACTAATATAAATACTACGTGGTATTGATTAGCTTTTTGACCTCGGATGTTTTATAACAAATCACAAAGCACACAGTGTGCCCATGGAAGCTGTAACTTGGAAATCTTTATTCTTACATTTTTGGCTTATTTAGTTTTAGTTATTTAGGTTCTGTATTGTACTTCTGCTGTTTCTCTAGTAAGAGATATAAAGCTAGATAAAAACACATTTTCTAATAGTCACATGCAATGTTAGCAATTTTAGTCATATTCCTTCCTACCTTCGCATTGATCCTCTGCTGCAGAGAGTTTGAAACCTTGGCCACAAGTACATCTGAAAGAGCCCTCAATGTTTTCACAGTGTCCATTCGTACAGAGATTGCCATACTGACATTCATCTACATCTGTGAATACATAGCAAGCATTAGTATATAAGGAAGCATTCTTCTGCATACAATCCTCTTTCAATTGAGCTTGTGAATATATTTAAAATCTGCAGTAAGCATGATTGTAAGAAGCTTCTCTCTGTCACTTCTGTGGTAACCCTGATTTTAATTGAAAGAGTTTAAACTTGGGCTTGGCTTGTCCTCAAACACTCAACTCTAGTTACTGCCCATGTGACTAAACTGATGTTCTCACCTCAATATTGCAAGGCTTAGTTTATGCTAATAAACATATATTTTTAAATAGTACTAGTGCTATGAACCAACCACATTCAAATCATCCTTACCTGAAATAAGATCATGTTAGCAATAATTACCCCACAATGGCTTAAGTCAGTGCAACTTTAGTGTAGACAAGAGGCGAGCAAGTGCTGGCACATTCATTCTTGCATTACACACTTTTACTCTTAGAAAGGTTAAAATGACTGTGTGATAAAAGCACTAACAGCTGCCAACCATAATGTAAACATTATCAATTAGTAATAATGTAGGCATTATCACTAATCCTTTTGCCATTGCAAGGAACAGTGCAGGAAAAGTCTACTGCAGACCCAGCTCATGCTGGCAAGGCTGCGTTGGAAGCTGCTCTCTCTCAGACCACGTTGAAAGCATTTCCTCTGGTCAGTTTTCCAACCCTTGCTGCTCATTGCCTGGAACTCTTGCTCCAGTGAGAAGCCAGCTTTTATTTACAGGGGGATCTGAAATATTTTTTCTTCTATAATCTATGCATAGATGTCTATTTTCAGCATTCCCTGAGGTGAAGACAATGGAACTGGACAGACCACTCTCAAGTTAACCCAAGAACTGCAATATTTCTACCAAAGAAACTTCTTTTCAGGAATTCTTCCTGAATGCAACTTGCAGAAAATAAAGCAAAAAAACAACAACAAAAATACAAGTGGATAAATAAGTAACAGCTTCCATCACAAACCATGTGAGAATTAATTCAATGTTCTAAAATAATCAACGCTGTTTTTCTCCTAGAGGTGTTTAAAAAATAAAAGGCTCATTTTCAAATTTAATTTACTTTGGGGGTGTTGTTAATAGCAAACAGGTGTCCCTGTTTGTATGGAAAATGCTGTATTTTTTTAGCTTCAGTGAGGCAGCAAAAAAATAAACCTCATTTGCTATTATATGCCAGAAACTGTATTACTCTCAATTATCCTATCTTTTGCCACCGCAAAGCATACAAAATCTATCAACATAAAAGAGTAAAATTGTTGATTATTTGAAGCATTTAAGTCATTTAGGCAACTCTAGAGATTTAAAGTTTCACCATTATAACTGCTGTTAGCTTTTATGCATATCAACTGCAACTATTTTCCTCAGATTAACTTATCATGACTCTAATTTAGAGGTTCCTCTACAACCAGATGGTCAAAGGCCCATGTGTCCCCAGGCACAACGGAAATCACCATTATCATCCATATTTCAGATTATCTATAGCTCCTCTTTCTTTTCTTGAGCCTATAACTTCCAAACCTAATGCAAACAATCCTCCAAACCCGTGACAGGGCAGAGCCACGGCCCTCGCGCTATGAGAGCGCTGCTGCCCTGCTGCAGGAGTAGTCTCAGTTCCCTACTCTTTCAGAAGGCTTTCACTGAATAAATCACATATGCCTTGATCTTAGCGTGTGTGATATGCTCAGTGCTTGGATCTGAGCATCTGTTAGAAGAGAGAGGCCCAAATTCAGCAGTGAGGCAAATCAACATTTAGGTAACGTGGTTATGTCATAAATTCCCAGCTGTCACAAGTAGAGCACACAGGTATACACAGAGAGCAGAAAGGAAGGTCCACAACAGACATGATATCCTTCTCAGCTGAAGCTCAATTTATGTTTCCAGTAGTGCCCCAGGAAGTGGCACTCAGAGCTGCAAAAGCCTTTAGTTTCTTCTTGCACAATGTGTGCATTTGCTCTTTGCCATCTCCCTCAATTAGTCACTGCTTCCTTGCAGGGCACTGAACGTACCGTGGCACTGTCCATTCCAGCCTCTGAATCCCACTCTGCAAGGAATGCACTGGTAAGAGCCAGGAGCATTAATGCACTGTGCATCTGGACAAGTTGTTGGGGTCTGACATTCATCAATATCTGTAAAATAGAAAATAAAATGTAGGTCAGAATAATAAAAGAACACTGAACAGAAAACTGATCTGATTATTCTGGCTCTGTGTATGGCCTACTAATACACTTTAAAAAGTTGTGTACTTGCAGTCAGAGGCCCACCAAGGTCCAACTTAGTACAAATTTGTACTAGTGAAAGGACATATCCTTGAGAAATAAATTAGACAATGGTTTATGTAACTGAATCTGAATTTTCTATGGCACTTTGAGGCAGACCCTCCACAGGATACAGCAGATCAGACTCCAGGATTAGATGGGCATGGATATCTCTGTTAATGTCACCCCTTTTACTATACTGAAATGTCCTGAGGTACCTCCTATAGTCACTCTCAGGAGACTCTGAGCCCACTGCAGTAAAAAAAAAAAAAAATGCAGCTCTGGATTTTCAAAGCAAGTAAGAATTTGCTGTGAATCTTCCCATGTCCTATAGCTAGGCAGCAGTCACGTAGTATAGGGACCATCAATATACCTGTGTCAATGGTAAGCAAATAAATTGTTTATGGAGAGGAGTTAATTTGTCTGAAGGAAACCCCATGCAGTACCTACAGCTCTGTGGGGCTTTGGAGAAGAGGCTGGTAATGTTTAGGGTGAAATACAGCCTGCTGGGCACACGCTCCTGCTGCCTGGAAGGACGAAGGGCGATTGCTGCTCAAGGCAAGCGCAGCCTGTGCTCCTCACGCCCCTGGGGCTGGGACTTCAGCTGCTGCATGTAAAGCCTGAAGCAGGACCAACGTGGG